GAGACCGCCAGATTGGAGGAGCCAGTACCCCAAGAATGATTTTGAATTTCTCCGTTTCCCTTGAGAAATGAAAGTATCCTGAGCCAAGTGCAGATGTCAGTCAGAGTAGAAAAAGGGGTTACACAATTTCTCTTTCTTTACAAAGACTAAAATTGTGCACAGTAGCTGTGCGGTACCAAATAAAGTAGAAATGACTACCAACAATAGCCTACAACTGGCATGACGATAAAGTCTACACTGGAAAAAAAAAAGAATTTAAAAAAAAGAAAAAATTGCTTCCTTCTGTCAAAGACAAAAAAAAAAGAAAAGAAAAGAAAAAGAAAGTAAAGATTCGTTAGTTAAAAAATTTTAATCTTCGTTTAGAACTAAAACTGTACACAAAAACAAAAAAACCCAATATCTTAATGACAAAAGAAATAAAATTCAAATTGGTTTTATTCTCTGTACAAAACATCGAAAATCAACTGTAGTACAATTTTAAAACAACAACAGATATTCTTTGCAAAAATTATGCGAAATTCAAAATACCGGATACCGGTACAAACAAACAAACATGATACATCTCACTTCAAAGTTATAACTCATAGATTGTAATTGTACTTTAATACATAATGAATTATTTATGTACATCCAAATGATGAAAATTCTAAAGAGTTTCCGACATGTAGGCTACAGAATTTGATTTATATCAGAATATGATAGCTTCAACTTACACTTACAGCATCTTATTCAAACACAACAGCTTTTAATATCAATAAAATATAGGCCTACATGTATCATGAATGTACATGTTCATGTATAAAATATATAACATTGTACCACTCCACAGTCTTCAGGGACACTCCAGCATTAAGTCCATGAATTAACTTTGAAGCAGTAGACATCTTTTAAATTTGCAAGCAGTAGAAACTTTCAAAACCAAGCAGCGTGTAGAGTTCTTGAGTGGGTGAGTATGATGGTCCACATTTCACCCCCCCCCTTTCGAAAAAAATATTAATTCTTTGAATTATGTAGGTGTTTCACACTACCATCGGGGCCCTCATGGTCTAGAGGTTACGGTGTTTGCCTTTCATTGAATAGGTCCCAGGTTCCCCTCACCCTCCCTCCTGTTTGCCCCCTCCTCTGAGCTCTTGACTCTTTCTAAAGCCTTTCTACTGCTACTGCTTGGCTCCTTCTTGCTGCTGTCTTTCAGCCTTCTAACACCTAGCCTTCTCGGAGAAGGGCGAAAAATCTCGGAGGTCCCATGTGCAAGTTGTGCACGTTAAAGATTCCTTGGTGGTCCTAAAATCCATAAAAGAGTAGGCTTCGGCCACCACCAGAGCAAAATTCAAAAATCCTTCCAAAGTGAAAAGGTTTTAATGTGTCCCACACGCTCATATGACGCCGTCAAATACTTACCAAAACAACAACAAAAAAACACCCACCAACATCGACACAATTAAGATCATTTAGGAGATCAGCTGCTTTGCTCCTATCACGGCCAACCTGAGATGAGAGGGATACCATATCTCGTAGACATAGATACTCCATCAAAATCTCTCCCCACACGGGACTCATACTCACGTGTTCTGCCTATCAGCTATGCCACAGATGTCAGTCCCCCCCCTCCCCCCCCCCCCCCCAAAACAAAAAAAAATGCACAAAAAACTGGAGGAAACAAAAGGACTAAACTACACACTGTACCAACGACCAGCAGAGTGTGGAGGATATTGCTATATACCAATAACATACAAGGACGAATAAAGATAAAGTTTGAATAAAGAGAAGTACATTGGCATTACTGTAGTATAACGTTCATTCTGTGCAGGAAAAATAGAATATAAATCTATAGAAACAAAAGAGGGGGGAAAAAACTTACAATGGAGGTGTATTTGTTTCAAAATGATCAATTTGTAGGCTAGGTTACTCCAAAGCTTTTATTGTAGTGATCCTGTGTCAGCACCTAAAGGACGGTGTTAATATAGGGTCCATATAAAATATCAAGAAACTTTTATAGCCACATCAAGATTTTAAAAAACCCTATCTGTACACCCTGGGGTCATTTTGTACCCCAGGGATTGCATTCTTCACATTTTAGAATACTTCAAGTACGAAGATCTCTTTGAAACTTTCAGTATTTCTCAAGAAATCATTTTGACAGACTGCTATGCAAAGCGTACGGATCGGATTAACGAGTAAATTTCCTCTTTGGAAAGTGGTGGCACAGAGTTCCCCATGTCGTATGGATACGATAGTAAAACACGACGTACGGATATGGTTAAACATTATATTTTTGTTTGGTCGCTGGCCTATAGGAGTCTGATGCAAAGTTCCAAGTTCATTGGCAAATTAATAAATGAGCTAGAATTTGTTTAATGCAGACAGACGAAAAATAACAAGTTACACCATCTTCAATCAAAGACAATACCTATCACTGTCATGTGAAATGCAGAGGGCATGAAACATGAGCAACAGATATATATAATACTGCATAGTACACGGAGAAGACCTAGAGTCGCTAACAGATCTACACATTTTGGGAGACAAGTTGCCTTTAGCAGATCTCTATACACTAATATATCATTAACCTTTGCCCTTTGAGATGGTGGTCAATCACACACACACACTACTGCACTCTAATAAAATGAATACTGCCCAGAAGTTCAGACACTTTCATACACAAGTTTATTCAGGTAGGAATGAAAGGAACTGGGACATTCAACTGAATTTGAGTGTGACCAACATATTTTTACAAATTGGCTTTTCAAGCCAAATTAAGAGGGAAGAATTCTTTCAAAAAGATCAAATGTTGTTGGTTTTAAGCCTTTTTTGACACAAAGAGATGATTCCAGAGATCATCTGGAACACTTAAAAATTAACATCAGTTTCTATTGGAAAAGATGTTGGCAGTGTTTAGTTTATGGTAAGTCAACATGATAGTGGCTACCTTTCAACTAGAACAAATGAGGACTAAAGTAATTCTGCAATGAAATAGATGGAGCATACAACATTAGTAGAGGGTCCATTTGTAAATTACCATTTCCTTTAGAGTAAAGGACTTTAAGCACTCTCATTGCTCATCACAACATATTATATCCACCTGTTTTATCCCCTGAGCTTAAAGCTTATACATAACAACCTTAAGTAGCCAAAAACCTAGAAAACGTTACTGTGAAGAAAGAAGATAAAAATTTCATTTGATTGTCTCTCTTTTCAAGAGCTAAAAGTATAACAATATAACAAACATTACATTATATTGTGGTTTCACATGCAAAGACTTTTTAAAAAAACCTTTTAAAAGAGTTTTCAAGTTGGGAGAGCATATATATATAATATAGTTGTAAAGTGAGGGAACTGTAAAATACATTAGCAAATTTACCTATAATGGCCTGATGTGGTACACTTGTTGAGAAGTATGAATATTCAACAAAAATAATATCAGGAATTACTGGTAGGTCAATAACGTTGGACATTATTGGTATGAGTATGACATCTGTAAAATAGGATTTCACACAATCAGTAGAGTTTAACATGCACACGTTTTACGGACCTAATCCAGTAAATCAAAATGATCTTTCAAATTATTTCAGAACTTTGGTATCTGTATCATGATCAATAATATGTGGTTCCTTCTACAAAATATACTGTACCTCTAAAAAAATCACTGTGAGCTGTGAGGATGGCGACCAGTGGTAAGGAATGGTACAATATGATTTTAAATGGTATGAACTGAGGTAGGCATAAAGCTGGTGCAAACAAAACACCCCTGTCAAATCAGTGGGATCATTTAACAGACACAACATCAGAACTGAAATCCTCCAGTCCGACAATCCGAAGCAGGTGGAAAGCTTTGACATTTCTAGACAAAACTCATGAGCAAATGGACAGTTAGTGAATTGATTCAAGGTCGTTCACTCAACAGTCCAGCCGGACACAAACTGAGCCCACAAAAATGACAACATTATAAATCAAAAGGACTGAAAGGAAAAGAAAATGTAAATCTGACTTGACAAAGAAAAAGCAACACACAGAGACATAGCATTGTCTGGACCAGTACAAATGTATTCCACAGGGACCAGCAATAGTTTACACAGCTTTTCTGCACAGGGTGGACTGAACCATGGTACTATAATTAAAAAAACCTTGGGAGAGAAAAACCGTCAGCATCAAAAGCGTCGAGCATCAAATCAATGTAAGTAAAAAAAATGTGTTAACATTAAAATTCTTATATAATATATGTTAAAGTTTTATTGTCAAACCCTGTTCCTCAGCGCAAAACAAGACATTTCTCCTATCTTCTTTGAAACAAACTTTTAAAAAGAAAAATGGGGCACACAGAATATATAAGATTAAGATTCAACACAATAAATCATTTTTTATATCACATCTTCCTAAAAAACGTTTACATGGAATTATTTTCAATTGTTTGAGTGATCTCTTTTCAAAACAAAAAATTCTATCCCCAATTCTTCCTATGTTGCATGTTGACCCAAGTTATACAGGAAGACACGGACAATATTTCAAATCACAGTATTACTATAAGTGTTAGGAATCTCACAACTCAGAAAAAAAGATACATGCAACAGGCTCCTCATAAAAATTATTCACCATTCAATTAATACTGTAACATCCATCAATGATTTATTTATAGAGGCACCAGCCATCATTGTCCATGTGCTGTTTTTAATACTATAACATAAAATCATCATATATTCACATGTAAGCAGTTTGTCAACCTCAAAGAAATGCCGCGCCTTCAGCCCCCCCAAAATATACAATAATGCATACAGTGGGTGTCGCATTCAACGAGGTTGCCGGGACTGGCCTGTTGTCCTCATTGGATCCGACCTCTCGTTAAACGTGACTAAGGCTAAAGAAAAGAAAGGAGACAAGTTATTATATTATTACACAATGTACCAATACCAGTAATTAAAACAGTTGTTCCCCCTGATGACGAAAATCTCAAACAGCATCAGTGTGCGCCTGTTTGAGCTGTGTTCTGACGAACTCTGTACTTTAACTTTGTTTTTTTCTGAAACACTTCTCGTGTGAAAACATACCTAGATCTACATAAGGTAATGGCGGGAGCTTGGATTTTCTGATCAGGGGAAGAAAAGAAAATTGAAAAAAATGAAGGACTCGATCTAGAAAGTTCATCAAGTATCACACAGCTCGCATTGCATTCCCACCCACGCCCTCCCATCCCTACCGTAGGCTAATCCTCACCAATCCTCTTGGCTTTGGGGTCCATATTAGGAGACACCCTAGGCCTAGATCTAGCAATACAATGTTTTGGGAATCGAGGATGGGCCTTGTTTGTGCTTCCCGTGAGATGGAGAGAAAGGAGGAAAATTCTTCGCATTTTGGGCCGGTAATTGCTTTCATTTGGTTATCACAACCTCGTTGAAACCTACTTCTGTCTGTTTGCAACCTCGCTGGAGCTGACGTACATTTACAAAGAGATAAAGAGGGAAAAATCGGGATTAAGGATTGCCTCGTTGGAGCCGACTTCTTGTTGAATGTGATCTCGTTGAATGCGGCACCCACTGTACTAAAATGTAAAAGTGAAGACAAATCATTCAAAAATATTGACAACCAAAAATGGGTTATGTCCTTCTGTTAACTAATGAGTTTTTAAACAAGATAATTTCCCTCTTTCGCTCTCTCTGTCCTGAAAAAGAGGAACGCCGGCCTGCTGTTGTTAAAGTTAAAGCCCACAATTTGAAATTATTGCAGTTCCTAATCTATGGCATAGGTTGCCTGTCCTCAAGAAATATTTTGTTGAAATTCAAACACTTAATTTGAAAACATCAAGAAAAAATACATAATAATGTTGGTACAATTATTTATTGTTTAAAAAATGAAGCAGTTTCTTCTCTTTCCAGTAAAATTTTGCTTGAATGGCTTGATACATTCTATCAGCTTGTCGACAACAAGCACAGCCTATGACTATGACCATGATGATACTACTAAAGAGGGTGCCACATTTAGCACACATGGGATCTCACATGAAACAGTTGAAGTAAAAAAGAATGCATCTCTACATGAATATACACACAATCAGCAGCCTGATACTGTAGGGTAATAAATCTATTAAAACAACTGAAAAACATACAACGAATACAGACATAATGACCACTGCAGGAAGGAATTTCATGCACTGAACAAACTGAAAGTCTTCAACAAAACTAATTCAATTTCAATCACAAGAAAAAAACCCACATTTAACAAAAGGAGGGACCGGGTTCCCTGTCAGGACCCTGAGCTGAAAGTTAGTTTCTATCAAGGTAGGATGAGCTGAATAAGTTTCATTGTAATTTATTTGATACATAACACAGCTTATTTTCACAACCTAAGAAAGTCAAATATACACAACCAACTATATGGATGAAGGCAGCGCCTCAAGCAAAATCAGAGCCCACCGACAGCATAACAAACTCATCATACAGTTCAGTTTCTTTCATTTATATCCTGAACAATTCACATCAAGTAAACAATAATCAGCTATCAACATAGCTTTCATTTCTTTAGATTACAATCCTTTGTCTAAGGGCTAAATTATAACTTAAGAGGTAGGACTCCAGTAAATTTCAGAACTCAGAAAAAACAAAACCCACAAGTTTCTCAATCTCAGGGGTAGTCTCTCAATTGGAATCTGAAAGTTCAAATGGAGGCGAAAACTATTCCTTCACTGTGATTGTCGTCAAAACACATACAGAAAATGGTGAAAGGAATCAAATACATAAAACACAGCCTTAAAGTTAGAGTCCAAAGACTAAACATAACGAGAAATCAATATGAGACATTATTTTTTTAAACAAACAAAGCACATATATGTTTATTATGGATTTGCTAACAATTCAAAACAAAAAAATACCCCTGGATTTCAATTGAAAGTATTTGTAAATACAGTTACTCTAGTTGGATTCAGCTATCATATCACCCCATCCACAATTTTATCTTCCCATGCTCGAGACTCTTGAATGAAAAAAAATGATGTAGTGGTCTTTTCTCATTAACTTGCACCACTCCTTTTCTTGAACCTTTTTAATTATTTCCAGTCCACACGAGATAAAAGATTATTGCATGGGGTTGGGTTTGGAGTTCCCGTGTGAGAATTCCTTAAAAATGAACATGGGTTTTTCATGGGCTCGCTTGGTAAGTTAGCGAGACATTGTTGATGAATATTTGAGGAAGTAAGGATAAAGAGCATTCATTTTTAGCCCCTTTCCTTTAATAAGTCCTCTTGATTAATTAATTAGTATTTTTCAAAACAAGTCAACAGTCACTGTGGTGTAATGGTAGACTCTTCATCTTGCATGCAAAGCAAGCAAGAGTTAGATTTTCAGGAGAAAAAAATATCTTATCCTATTTCTGTATTCATGCAAGGAAGTATCCCACCATCCAGAGTTGGCTCTGACATGCAGGGTTGAAGCAACCTGTCACCTACATGATTTTAATTGTGCTGATGAGCGCACGCATTAACAAAAACTTTAACTACCCATTGAACTGCTATGCAGTTCATTTTGAGTAGCTGCCAATGTTGAAGAGAGAGATGAAGAGACAGCCAATAACCACAGGTGACATATATAATTAAAAGATGAAACTTAATCATATCAAGATAGTCTATTGCATTGAATTAGATTTATACAGGAAATCTATTCAGTTGAACTGGACAAGACTGAGATTTATTGTAATGAAATGGTAGATGAAGCCTCCTCGGGCACGGGTGGGAGTAAGCTTGTACACTGATCACACATGTCCTCTTTCAGCATGCTCATTTTGATGTTGAATTTCTTTGTACAGATGTCTGTGAATGATGCGCGGCAGGCAGGTTTTCCACCCTCCAGTTTTCTCTTCTCTGCATAAGTCTTGTAAAAGTGAGCCATGGACAACCCTGGCTCAGTACACCAGCGAGTGAAATCTTTCTTACACTGTATACACTGAATGGCCTTCAAGGTTGCCACAGATCTTACATGGCTCTCGACTGCATCTTGCTCCTGCATGAAAACATAAGATCTTTTACAGTGTCTGCCTCTCATATCCTGCATGGAGCCACCCAATTTTTCCATTTTGTCAAAGATGGTCTTGACAAACTTCTCACCAATGTCAAATGTATCTAAGAAAAAACGTTTGCATACTAATTGACGCTCTCCAGCATAAGGCACACCCCATTCTATTGTACAACAGCGTCTACTGTTGACACCACTGCAGCTTTTCTTTGGAACTTTTTTCACAATTGGTAAAATAAACTCTCTACGCTTAGTGTCATTTTCAAGGTTCCAAAAGTCTTTAAAAAGAGTCTCTCTGGCATCCCATGGGATTTTGGCTCCACATTTTCTTTTGCAGGCGTCTGCACAACCAGGCTTCACACTCTTAGTAAATGGTTTCTTTTCCCGTCGCTTAGTGCTTTTCGAGTTGCGAACTTTGGGAACTTTTGATTTGGGTATAGAGACAGACTTCTTTTTTCTTTTCTTTGATTTTGCTCCATTCACAGGTACAGATGATGGAATGCCATTATTAGTATTGCTAAGAGACTGTAGAACTAAGGATTCACTGCTACTACTATTCATACGAGAACTTCCTTCTATGAAACTAAACGGAGCATTCTGAGGCTTCATGGAAGAGGTGCATTCCCTTGGCATTGGGACATTCAAAGCGTGGAATCTCTGGGAGTGGAAAAATCCCATCATCTCACTGCCAAAAGATATTGGCATTGCCTGATTCATGGAGGTTGTTGGGATATCTGTAGCAGCTGGATGATATGAAAATGCCGATGTGGGGTTGGAGAAGTGGTTTTGTGAGCCCATACGAATTTGATGCCTGCTGTCCATTGGAAAAAAATGCGAGAACTCTCGAGACGTACCAGGCACACAATTTCCCACAGCAGCATCCATGCGATAGTCAGTCAAGGCTGGAAAGACAGACATGTTGTGATGGCTAGGCAAGGGATGGCTCGAGGAGTCCAAAGGCTTAGACGGCCATAGTTCAGTGGGGTTTCCCACGTGTAAGCTTCCTTGAGGAGGTTGCTGCATAGTGTCAGTGACTTGAAGACTGTGACAGAACTGAGGAAAGGCTGACTGGGAAGGCATGGGGAGAGAAATGGACGGAATAACTTGATCCACACTTGACGCTTCTTCTTCATGAAGACTGGGAATCAGCGACTCATAGTTTGCTTCAATTTGACACAAAGTGTTTCCAACTGAAGATTCTGCTTGATGATTTTTCTGTCGAGTTTCAGTACTTATAGCCTGAGCTGTCTGTTGAGCACAAGACTCAAATGTCACTTCCTGGGAGTGTTGATATTCAGAACAATTCTCCTCTCCAGCAGTTTGAACTCCTGGTGTACTTTTGTTCACTTGTGTTGAGTTAGGCGAAAACGCACGTATCAAAATTTCAGTATCATTAACTTCAGAGCTTTCAGCAGGCTTGTTCTCTGTTTGTTTTTGGACATTCAATTCCTCAGCTAGATTTCCACTTCTTGTCACATCTTTAGAAGCATCAGAATGTGAACCTTGAGTCTGAAATTGCCCAGTGAAGTGCTTACAAGGTAGAGGAGGGCCCCTAGCTTCAAACTGTTTATCATTTCGAATGGCTCTATAGACCACACTGTCACTTATTTGTAATACATGCATGAAGAATGTTTTGCAAACAGGAATTTCAAGACCGCGAAAATCGAGATTCCAATGGATTTTGTATCCACGTCTCTTTTCCCTCAATTTACTTGCAATGAGGCAACTGCATGTGGCTCTTGCCTCTTTTCTCACACAAGTTGATATAAACTGTCTTTGTTCTTCCATATTTTTCAAAGACCAGAAAGAATTAAAGATTTCCTTGCAAATGTCCTCCGATAAATTTTTCCTACATTTCTTTGGGCAATCATCAGGACATAAGGGATAACTAATTTGTGTAGGAGTTTCTTTTCTTTTATAGGGATTTCGCTTTTTCTTTTTGGCCGACAGTTCAACAGGAATTATTCTTTCCTTTTTGATTTTTAAAACAGGAACAGCAGGATGAATATGATTTTCCCTCTTTTTAATGGGCAAGTTAAACAGAGAAGGAGCAAGTCTAATTTTGGAGCGAAGATTCCTTTTCTGTCTCACAATGTACGAGTTATCTTCAGAGTCAGAACTTTGCACATTCTTCAGTTTGGCTTTCTTGAATCTGACAGTCTTATCTGATGACCGTTTTTTCCTTTTGCGGACTGTTTTTCCTTTCTTCTTTTTGTTCTCCTTCCAGGCATCAGAATAATAATCCTCTTCACCTACATCTGTTTCAATTTCTGTTTCACTACAGTTACTCTCTATCTTCTCAACCTTTTTTCTAGAAAGCCTCAAGGCTGACTTTAATTTTCCTTTAGCCATTATTGAGCTTGCAGTTTTAGCTTTTTTTGAGGTAATAACGGTTTTGCATGTTTTTCTTGGATTCTTAACAGTTCTAACAACAGGCTTGATTTCATTCTGAAGACCAATATTATAAGCAGATCGCTCACTTATTCCAACCGTATGGAGGAAAAATGTCTTGCAAACTAAAATATTTTCTTCTTTTAATGGTAAAGACCACTCAATAGAACATCCTCTTCTGGTAGTGAGTCCTGGTCTGATGCGTTTGCGCTCAGTTCGGATGATATATTTGGCAATGTAATCTCTTTGTTTACGAATGTTACTCAGACTACGATACTCATTGAAAATGGCCAATCGTTCTTCTCTTGTGAACTTTGATTGACAATTTCTACGACAAGACGTGCAGCCTGCTCTCATTTCCATGTATTTCTCTTTCTTAGAGAAGGACGCTTCTCTTATTTTCTTGGAATTCCCTTTCTTCTGTGGTGAACTGTAATCATCAAGATCTGTTTCAAACCATGTTGGTTTCAATTTTAATGGATTTTTAGTCTCTTTGGTGTCAATTATAGGTGTGTCATTTGTAAAAAAAGCACTTTCTTTAATAGCTGCATATGCAGTGTTTTCTGGGATGTCCAATGTGTGCAGAAAAAACAGTTTGCACACAGAGTAAGATTCCCCCTTTAGTGAGAATGCCCAATCTACTGAGAAACTTCTTCGGGAGCCTTCCTTGCATTTCATCATTGGCATTTTTATAGCATTGTTTGCTATGAACTCTTTCTTTTTTGAATCACTTTCTAGATTCCAGTATTCATTAAAAATATCTTCTCTCAGACTCTGAGATATCTTTTCCTTACAACGTCTCCTACATACAACAGAACACCCAGGCTTGATGTACCGTACTCTCTTGAATTTGGGTTTCTTGTCCTTTTTAGACCTGCTGTTGGACTTTTTTCCCAGTTGTGCTTTTGTAGTTTTCTCAGTGGGTAACGGTGGAGAATCTTGATCACTACAATGGGATTTTGACAAAGAGTTGGTACACCACCCTGGTGTGTTCTTAGGAGCAGGATAGTGATATGAAGTCTCTGGAAAACGTGTGTGGTTCGAGTAGGAAGAATGGAACTGCTGAGCAAATGGGCCACCCCCTCTTTGCACATGCCCACTACCTGGAAAGGAAGGTATGGAAGACATGGGAGGGAATTCTGGCTGCAGTGATCGGTTGTTGAGGTTGAAGTCAAGTGGGCGGGTCCTGTTGCAGTCAACCAGACTGCCTGAGGCTGGCATGCCCCGGACTTGTGATTGAAAGCCAGATGTACTGCACTGCTGCGAAGAGCCTGCGATATCCATAAGACTTGACAAATCTGGATAGGCTGACACTGCCATCCCTGAGAAATCCATTTGCTGCATAAACGGCATAGAGCGGTGGTACCTCCCCGACATACTGGGGCCTGCATTGTTAAACGCCATTTCAGGAAACCTGCGTCCGTCTCAGAGTAAACACTTTTGGCTCATCTTTCTGGGTATTTTCCAGAGAAGCGATTTCCTGTGAAGACAAAAATTAAGATTACATTTACTTGCACACTCTTCAAATTAAAGCCAGTCTTTTATTTTTACTTCAGTACTTTATGTGTACCTTGTATAAAATTTGCTAACAATATAAAAAGGCAGAGACAAAAAGTATGCCATATATAAGACTTAAGTGCATGCTCCCTGATTAGCTCTAAGGTGCTTGCTAAAATTAAAACATTTCATGTTTTATATGCCTGATTTGACTGGGCCAAACAATCAATAAAAAGATTTGAAATTTTTGTGACAAGCTCAGAAAAGAGATTTGAGGATGATTTGGGTCTTAGTTTAACCCAGTTTACCCTACAATGTCATTTCTCTTGATTAAAACATTTATAAGCGTGTAAGCAAGTGTTAGTGTTGTGTGAGTGCATGAAGGTGTGAAATAAGGAGAGATGGCACAAGATTGTAAGCATAATTAAATGTACTGTGCTAACTAAAACCCAAACAACAGAATAAAGACAACAGTTAAGGGGGCTCGTGGGTCGGGTCTAGGGCTTCGGAGACTGATTTTCACAAATTCTGAGCATTTTTTATTTTTGGTATTTTCCCACCCCTCATTCAGTCTAGATTATATTGACACTAGATCTAGTGGCTGAGTGATTAACATTAACAGAATTCAATTTTATTGGGTTCTATTTTGTGTACATTTTCGATGTTTAACCTCGTTTTTCTCAAAACACACTTTTACACCACTTTTTGCTTGCATATGCCATTTTTTGCTCTCCACCATTTTTCTATTTTCCAACACAGAGACTTGAAATTTGACATGCAGTTAGAGAAATGGTTTGCACTTGTAGTGGGCTGGTTAGTTTTTTACATTTTGCTTTAGAATATATTTTACAATATTTTTTTAACGCCAAATATATTTTTTCAAAGATCAAATTCCATATCCCCAACTTTGAGAAAAATTTTGGACACTTTCTCTCAGTATAGTATCAAAAATCAAAATAGCCAGCTGCAAGCCCCTATTTATTAGTGACATTTTGCAAGTTACAGAATTTGAAAAAGTTAAAAACTGTAGAAATGGTGGACCAAAAAAAATTATTAGATGGTTGCCGTTTCCATGGCAACGGCTTACAAAATCGGGTTTGTCAATAGTTGAACATGAATCTTTTGTCTCATACTTACTGCCTGTGAAAAAAGTTGTTTCAGTTTGTCTTCAATTAAAAATGTCCCGTAATTACTGAGCTCCCTTAAAAAAAAATCAAAGGTAACATTTTCAGAAAATCTGAGCAACATACAGCTTAATGACTTAATGACCTTGTGGATATGAGCAAGTATGCAGGCATGGGTTCACATTTTTCAATTTATAAGATAGTATTATATTCTCACAACAAAGACAAACCTTAAAGGCCCAAAGTCAAATGCACCTAAGCTACAATAAATCATGGAGACAGGAAATTGTCACTGAATGCCAGTGCTTTGCAAACAATCTTTGTACATTCGTACACACAGTGAATTCTGAGACGATTACATTTTATGACAACAAAAGAGAAGGGTAAATGATGTGACAGTCTGGCAAAAAGGAAAGAAAAGGATATCTGTCCCACCAAATAGTTTTATAATAGAATTAAGGCTTGAGAATAAAAAATACTCAAGCATAATTCAAAGCATCTTCTGTTGCTGCCTGGGATGGGAGGGTGGCCAAACATTGTTACAGTAGAACACGGCTACAGCGGGACCTTTTTTGGTTCCAGTTTCGAGGCCTAGATTTAGATGTAAATGAAGATTACAGATCATGTCTTTTCAATGAACGATCGCTTTTTCTCCGTTTTGGAGTTGGAGGAATCAATTTAAAGACAATTTGAAGAAAAGAACAATAATTTCAATCGAAAAGTCACCCTTTCTATTTCTCTGTCTTCCCCCCCCCTCCTACCCCCCCCCTCCTACCCCCACCCCCTCTCTCTCTCCCCTGAGTATCGCTCGCCTTCTCTTTCTTTTTGTTTGTTTCTGTCTTTCTTTCTCCACACCTACTTTCCAACTCTATCTTTCTCTGTTCCCCCCTGTCAACTGGGGCATGTGATATTTGCAAGCACTGGCCACTTCCCCCTGTTCTCTACCCCCTCCTCTCTCACTCTCTCACACACACACACACTCTACCGGGTCTAGGCACTGAAACTTTCCAAAATCACAAAAGATTTCCACTACCGGCACCGGGTCTGTATACTTCGTGATTTTGTTCCAGGTACATGCGACTACATGCAGGGCGTAAACCGGGCTACGATTGGCTGCTTTGACCCATATACTGTCCCCGTGGTAATTTGCAAATTGCAACCCTACAATTTGCCCAAATTTGCCACAAAAATTGCCAAATGTGCCCAAATTTGCAAAGAAATTTGCATTCAGAACCAATACAGACAATTGCTGCTTACCGCATGAAACAGACATACTGAAAAAGACTGGCATTTTTGGGGTTATTTTGAAAATTTATACATTCTTTTATTAAAAGAAAATTAGAAAGCTATATAATAATATATATATATATGAGCCTTTGCCAAAAGGTGGGGGTGTTTGCATGAGGACTTTTTAAATCAATCACTGCTCATGGAAAAATATGTTTTCTACTGAAAACATTATGCATGTGGCAAGGAAATAAGTTGGTCAAGCTGCATGAGCAAGTAGATTGATGAGCGCATCTTATATCTCTTCATAGAAAGATAATAGTACCAAAAATAGGGCATTTTTTACTCATCTTGAGTGCACACGTAATTGTATGTTAAGTATAGAATATTGTTAATCTTAAACTATCAAACAGTAGTGCTTTCAAACATTGAAAATATTTAGTATACACCATCATAACACCGTGTATCCATTAACAGGGTTCTATTTTTTTATATTAATGATGTTATGGCTGAGTAAAATGTATAAGTTCGTTCATAACTCGTGTCATAATTACATCATCAGACTTTCCAAGGTCTAGAAAACCCAAATCGTTAAACATATCATCCTCAGGAATGACCAGTATAAAACATTGGTTTGACACTGATCCATCAGAAAGGTAATTTTCTGCTTCCGCTTTGCTTAAATATGACTTTGATTGAGATAATCCAGGTTTGTCATAATGATGTTATGAACAAACACTTTATGATATTTCTGCAAAATATCACGTGAGGGACTTCCCACTGTTTCACAACATCCTTCTACATGGTGGCATAAACATGGAAAAGCAGCGTGCTGAAGACTCAAAAGAGACGCAAAGTAGAGGCAAAAATATGCTTGTCATAATGGATTGTCATCATGTTATGAACGTGACAGTGTATCATAATGATTTATAATGGTTATGAACGAAACCATATTCCATGTATAATTTACAGTTGTTTTTGGATGTATCTTTAATTTTAAAACAATTTAAGGATGTATTAGACCTTGCTTACATTCTGATATTTAGATTTTTATCGTAAGTGTATGGGTATGTATTTTAATCTGTATTTTTCTTTTGCAGTAATTGTTATGAACGAACTACATATTGTACTCTGAGGGCTTTCCAGTGTTGATAAACATTAAAAACATGTACACAGATACATATTATGAGGAAACTTTCATTTAATGTAAATATTTTAAAGTACACGACAGGTCAAAATATTAAATTTTAGGTCAAAACTGAAGTTTGTCATAATTGTTATGAACGAACCATTAAAGGTATTCTAAGGGTTTTTAACTTTGAATTCTTCAGACATATGCTTATTCTGAGGAGAGTCTCATAAATTAAAACAATTTTATGAGAATGACAGAACAATAAGTTAATTTTTTTGGGCCCAAAGTAAAATGTATCATTATGTCATAACCGTTATGAATGAAACCTTATTCCATGTAATTTACAGTTGTTTTGGGATGTATTTTTAATTTTAACCCAACTAAAGGACGTATTAGACCTTGCATACATTCTGATATTTTGATTTTTATCATAAGTGTAGGGGTGTGGATTTTAATTAGTATTATACTTTTGTAGTAATCTGTCCTCAGAGAAAATTGCATTTGAAAATAGCCAAAGTTGCAAGACGTGTATAGCTAAAACAACGCCACGGAACTATTGGAATACGTTGTTGCTATGCTCATTGCAATCAAAAGTAACCAACATGAGTTTTGTTAGATCAAAATCAGAAGTTAAATGTGAATGTCTACCCCCCCCCAAAAAAAACAACAAACAAAACAAAAACAACAACAACAAAACTACATGGAGGTTGCATGGTGTACAAAAATAGTTTGTCCCTGACACATGCGTCAGGTCCTTGCACTCTCGCTGACGTTGGGCAGGTGTGACCTGCGTGGTTTT